AGATTTCTGATCCTGAATGTTTTTAACACGTAACTTGTGATTTTATAGTGAGATCTGTTCTGAGTAAACAGCTTCAGTGGTTGGTAAAAGCATGAAGAAAGCACTCACAACAATCTTCATCCATGGATGTAGCTGTTAAATCCCCCTTTGTGTTCCTGTGTCTGTCTACTCTCTCTGTGCTCTGTCTGTAGTTGTCTGGTCTCCCTGTTGTGTTTAGTGAGTCTTGATCTCCCCAGTTAGTCACGTCTCTGCGTTTAAATAGCCTGGCTATTTATTGTTTGAGTACAGGTACTGCACTGTGCTAAAGTCTTTAGCCAAGATTTATTTCTTTAGATTTTGCTAGGAAAGTGGGATATAGGTAAAATGGTTTGTCAAAAGATGTGCAAACGGGACTTTTGTTGGAAGAACATTATACGCTTTTTCATAACACCTAAACAAATCTCTAAATTCAGTGCTACACCTGCGCTTTGTTGGAGAAACTGTGGGGAAGTCATGGCAGATCATGGACACATATTCTGGTCCTGCCCATCCATACGACCCTTCTGGACGGAAGTTGCAAAAATAATCACAAAGGTACTGGGATTCAATGTGACTTGTACATTCGCATCATTGTATCTGGGATATTTTGCAGAAGATTTAGTTACAGACGATGTTTATCTCCTGAGAATTTTCTTGGCATCTGCAAAAAAGGCTATAACAAAACGCTGGCTTTGTAAAGACGCTCCCACTATAATACTTTTTACCTCTATAGTGGAAGACATCAAATTGATGGAATGTATGACCTTCACCCTGCGACTCCAGGGAGACTTGGGGAGAAGACGATGGAGAAAATGGCTAGGCTTTACAAATTGTGGCAGCACTCTTTAATGCATAGAACTTGCAATACCAAAGTACTGATATATGTATGTGTGGATGTGCAGCTGTATACACGGGCATATATTGTCTTCCCATGACCTCATAATATTTTGTCTTTTTTGTTTGTATTTTTCTGCATAAAAATGTTCCTAAATAAATAAATAAAAAGTATCAAAAAAAATATGTGCAAACATACATGGAAATAGAGTATAGCTGTCATAAACTAAGTCTTGACAATTCTCACAAGCTTGACAGATAATATTTGGTATGACGACCTTTATTCTTCAACACAACTCTCTTAGATGAACTTTCTGAGATATTTAAATTGTCTTCAGTAATAGTTCTCAGGTTTCTTGAAGGACATTCAAAGCTCTTCTTTGGATCTTAGTTGTCTTTTTCATTTTCTGTCCCAGTGACCCCACATTGCTTCAGTAATGTTCACGCAAAGGCTTTAGAAGGTCAATCCATGGCCATCAGGTTTGCTTTAACTGCACTGAGTGTTTAGGATCATTGCCATGCTGAAAAATGAGGCCTCCAGAAATCACATGTTTCCAGATGGAATCGTGTGGGGGTCAAAACCTGATGGTACTTCTCTGCATTCATAATTCCAACAGTTTTGAAAAGATCCCTCTCTGTTTACCTCTTCTGTGTGAAGATCAAATGAAGAGCCAAATCTTTTTCTCTTTACTGGATTTGTTTTTTCCTTTTTCTTAAATAGGATCTGAGATTGATATCTTTATCATCTGTAGCTAGTGTTTGTGTGTTTGTTTTTAGGCCATCCTTATTTGTGGATTGCTCAAAGAGTAGCATAAAAAGAAAAAGAGGAGAGAGTCACACCGACTGTGTTTACACTGCTGTTAGATCAGACTCCCACAACCGACCGCGACCATCTCTATAGGTCATGATGGTCAGGCGAAGACATGCTTTAAAGGAGGCTCAGCGTCATTGTCTGTGTTTTGTTGGGTTGCTTTGATTTTGATAATAATGATTTCCAGCTATATCTGAATATAAAGGCAGATGTAGCTGGGTATGATATTTGAAATTATTTTCAGACATTTTCCATTGTTGAGGACAAAAGGGTTATAATACAGAAAGCAATTAAGCATTAAGACCAGTTAAAATATGTAACTTCTTTATGCTGACAGAACGGGGAGTTCCACTCCTCCAGCCTACTTAAGCTCGAAGTGGGCTGTATGTAACCCACGATGTAAAAGAGTTCAACACCTGCTGTAGGCTTTTGCCCGCTGTGGTGATTTGATGCAACAAATTTGAGTTGAACTGAAAATTTTGAGATATTCATAAATCATGACAAACACAATAACAAGAAAAGTCTTAAGAGATTTTAATACAACAATAATAAAGCTATGAAATAAG